TCAGCATTTACAGAAAGAGTATTCTCTGTTATGAACGCAAAGTGGCGGGACGACAGGAATAAAGCTTCATTAAAACTAATTAAAAATGAACTTTTAGTTTACTTAAATCTTTGTTTGCCATGTTTAGAGGCTATTAATGTATTTAAGAGCGACAGCAATTTGTTACTGGCTGCTAGGTGTAACAAAAAATATGTTTTTAAAAATAAAAAATAAAATACTTTATTTTTATGCTGAGTACTTTTTTTTTAACTTTTTAGTCGAGAAATACTTTATGTAAAGCCTGAAAAGGTGGCAACCCTATCAGCAAGCCAACAGAACACCAACTAAACAGCGTTCAATAAATGACTACAGACGGCCAAATAAACGCCATCTGTAGAGGTTTATCTTTAATTGTGAGTTCATTACAAGGTCCTTTTCGATTTAAGAATATCGACTGGCCAATTCCTGGTCTATTCAGTTTGTTGTTGTTTCGAAAAGGATCTTGTCAAAATTAAATCAATCCACAATTAGTGGCGAATGTCGACAGATGACATTCGTCATTCTGTCTACAGTTATTTACCCTTACCAATTTAAATACGTGGATTTTGCTGTGTCATAATCAGTAAGTACTCATATCTGAGGAAGCTTACGCTTGGCGAGCATATGTAACAACTAAATGAGCTTTTTGTGTAAAATGGGTTTTCATCAAATAAACGTCCAAACTATTCAATTAGATAATGCAAAACTGAGCATCAGTCGTAACATTGTTTTGATTCAATTTAATTTAATTATATTATTAAATGGGCTTAATTTATGCCTCTATTGTTTCTACAATCTCTACATCTACCGCTTTATTTTCAACAAAGTGGAATTTACAATTAACCGTTAGAAAATTAATAATGGCACTGCTCCCTTTTAATTACAGGTTTCGGGCCTGGCATTAACCCAAAACCCCAGATGCAACAGTCTTCCCCTACCAGGAGGAGATCAATTTCTCCTGTTCATCCAAATCCTGCAGAACCAATTACAGAAACTCCCAGCGCAGCAATGTCTCGCGTTGGATGGTGTCTTCGAACGCTGTTGCTTTGTAAGTTTATCTCCTTTTCTGAAATTATTATTACTGTTGATTTTTCGAATGAAAAATAAATCGTTATTTTAAGAGAAAATATAAAAAAATACCCTCATACTATGCACATTTCTCTAAAACACACACACACACATTCACATCCACACATGCACACGTACACTCACACACACATACAGACACACACACACACACACACACACACACACACACACACACACACATACATACATACACACACACACACATTCACATCCACACATGCACACGTACACACACACACACACACACACACACACACACACACACACACACACACACACACACACACACATACATACATACATACATACACACCTACACACCCACACCTACACACACACTTAAAACTTAATGTATCTCAAAATTTTCCTTGGAAATGAATCCATGACGAAACAAAATTGAGGAGTGTACTAAGTTCGTAATTCTCCCTTTTTCCAGAGCGACATAATTTTGAAGAGAGTATATCTACATTTATGCCATTAAAATCAAGTGTATCAATTAAACTATTTCAAATTTTTGTTCCATCTGAGTTTTCAAATTATTATTTATGATCAAACTCTTTTGTTTCGAAAATAACAACACTGTAACGAGTTTCACAAATGTTTCTTTTATGTAAATTTTGGTCTAAGCTATAAAGTTTCCAAACGTAGTTAAACCCAGCTAAGGTAACTATAAAACGCTCTATAGCGGTTTGTTTTCAACATACACTGAAAATTATGCATTTTCCCTTTTATGTCGTGCTTTTATTATTTCTATACACATGTAGTATTTCTCAGTCTTTCAATTTCATGAACTATATTTTTGCGGCGTCTTCTTGAGGAAAATACCGCATTATATTTCCCTGTAAGTTTCATTCACCTCATACATTCTTCGCTGTTGCTGATGTACATTGTACAGCAGTGAAAGCAAAGTTGTGGTGCATTTTCTCTATTTTCCAAGGTGAAAATACATGCTTGAAGGATAGGAAAGTGTCGGGGAAACTCGTACGTCGCTGTGCCCCTGGGACTGAGCTAGTCGACTGGTTATTGCAGCAATCTCCAGGAATCCACACCAGAGTGCAGGCTGCAGGAATGTGGCAAGCACTCCTTGAGGAGGGGATAATATCGCATGGTAATTTTCTTCCATATTTAATAACTTTATACTTACACGAACACCTTTGTGTAGAAGATGTTATATATATTTACATATAATACAAATCAATTAGAACGGATGATAATCGACTAAACCACTAAACCATATCATAGTTTAAAATATGTATACGAATTACGACTATAATACGTATGTACAATGACGAAATAAATCAAGTATAGTAGAACCTCGATAAGATAAAGACCAAGAGAAACGTAAAATAATTTGAGTTATTCAGGTTTTTACTTAATAAGGGTTTAAGTTTAAACTTTAAAATTATGGATTTCCAGTGACAGCAATCTCTTCAGCTTTTTCCTTTAGTATAGGTCCACTAACACTAATGTTTTTACATATTTATACACTGTCTAAACCATGTAAACAAGCATTTTTCTAAATTAGGAAATTCAACAGTTCTTCGTCTTTTACATAGAAGACTTTCTCCCTATTCAAACCACTTTTCACTGCTTACTGAGGTGCGATGCCCAAATTATTCGGTTAAGTTATAGAGGGTTTTTATTTTAAGTAATAGAGATTTTGGACTCCAAGGGGAAGGGAACACAAAATTTTATGAATTTATGGAAATTATTACGTTATCGAGGTTTAAGTTATCAAGGTTCTACTGTATTACAATTTCCAAATATTTTTAAAACATTTACAAACAGATATTTCGACATACGTAGGTATATGAGAGTATGTCAGAAGAAGAAACCAATTCTTATCTTAATATTTCTTGAAAATTTGTTTCTCTCTAGGTACTGAAAAAATATTTTTTATGTATTTCTAGGCTTGATTGTTAAGACATAATAGATTTTAAATCGAATTTACCTGTATCTTAGGTAGATAAACTATAGTCAATATAGAAACACATATAGAACATCCCTTAAGTTAACTAAAACTAGTCGGCCTCTTTGTTTACCCTTAATTATTCGCCTTGTCCTGTATTCACCTTGCTTCGAGGACATTTCCATACTAATTGCTTCATTTGATATAGTGGCTGTTGCATACAGAATGCAAACAGATATAGAGGGAACTAAATTGGCTCGTCGTTCAGTCCTGTAAATATACGTTAATTCCAAATAGAATCTTGTTGTGATAGAAATTTATTTAAACGACTTAAACCTTCTTAATTACGAATCAGTCCGCAAAACAAAAATAGTGAGTGTCTCTATTGAATGTAAAGAAAAGCTGTGTGTTAACTACAAATCGGTATTAAAAAATGTTCCCCAACCTAGAAAGAAGTAACTAAAGCATCATTAAACATTGATTAATTAGTTTCATTGATAGTCATGGAGCTATAGGTAGTTTAGAATGACATGAACCTTAATATGTGCGATAGACGACCTTAATGCAATCGTGTTGTACTTCGTCTGTTGTTTTATTGATTCCAATGCATCATTTATATAGGTAACTGTAAACAATGACATGATCCAAGGTGAAGGTCCATGTTATTCCAAGTTACCTCTATCCAAATCGAAGCCTACAGTTAAATTGATAGTATAAATAATTTTAAAACACAGTATCATTTTAAAAATATTAAATAAAATATATTTACTACGTTTCTGAAATAAATTCATCGACTTGTAGGTAAACAGAATAATGTCTTGTATGCCCTTCTATTTTAATTTGTCAAACTCTCCATAATATAATTATTTCATAATCCCTTTTTATGCGACATAAAAGTGCTGTTTTCAATTAACTCAGTGGATTGCCAATTTTTCTCACGAACTGTGACGTCATTTTTAATATTATTCAGAAGGGAATACGTTTCTTGTGAACNTGTCTTATCTCCAAAACTACTGAACCTAAATTTTTGAAAAAAATTCAGAAAATAGTTCTTTACTTATAAATTATTAAGAAGTTTATGGTGTGAACATAACGTGGTAAATCTTACAACAAAACTATATTGTCCATACAAATTTACATTTGCAGTTTGAATGTATAGGAGAACATGTTTTTTTTTCAACTAGAATGTTAAGTTGATTCGGGAGTTAGTGATCCATTTTTCACTCGGAACCCTTATAGGATCACTCGTGTGTCTGTCTGTCCGTTTCTATTGATTAATTCAGTGACCTACAGTTGTGTACAGTTAGAAAGTCAATCATTTAAATAACTTTTTATTATTTTTGCTACCCAACGTAGATTGATAATATTTCTATTAAACACCCGAGATAAAAATGTTCAGTCTCTCAGAGTCTCTGAAAGCAAGACTCGAGTCGCTGAGAGAGACTGTCGAGAGACTGTCAAAAACCCTGTTTAGCGTCTCTGAACGAGAGACTCGAATCGCTCATAGAGAGGTCCTCATTTCGTATCCAGTCTCTGAACGAGAGACTCGAATCTCTGAACGAGCGACTTTCTACGAGAGACCGGAGTCTCTCAATTTTTCAGTTTTATTCATTCAGTCTCTGAATTAACAGTTTTATCGTTCGAGTCTCTCATACAAAGACTGTGAGAGATCCATGAAAACACCTAGGCAATAACTGAGAGACTGTGAGAGACGCTCTCAGAGACGCTAGAAGACTCTGAGAGACTGGAGAGAGACCGAAAATTTTTGTCTAGGTTGTTCAATTGAAGGTATAGTAATCAGCAAAGCACATAAAACATTTGATCTTAGATTTTTTAAATCCGAACGTGCTGTTTTGAGTTAGAAATAAAAAAGTAGCAAAACCATTTAGCTGAAAGAAAAATCAAATAAAAGAAATTGGTTTATCAATATTTTTTAAGAAAATTAATATTGTTTTAAAAAAGAAATTCTTTTATACTGTATAAAGTCATTTTTTTAATGAATATTACAAAAATTAATATTAATATTAAGTTTTCATTGTTATTTTTTTTTTAATATTGTTCAACGAGAAAGTAAAAAGTACACCAATTACAGCATTATTAGATACAATTATGACCGCCTCGGTCTAAATTGCAAACTGTAAAAAATCAAGATGAAATCTAAAATTGCTTATCTATCACCAATTGGAGAATAAATGTTATTTGAATTAGAAAATTGATTACAATCTTAGTATACCAAAAGTTGGGGTTATGAGTTAACTCTCAAAAAATATGAATAAAGGGATTATTACAGTATACACCATAAGTAGTCTTTCAATATTTACCCAAAAATAGGACTAACACTGTTCACGCCACTTGTATAATTATCTGCACGTGATGCTACAATAAAGTACTAGAAGATTTTTCGTTGTGTTGCTAACAGCTCAAAGTTTTTCCTTTTGTTTCAGGAGCCACGAACGCACTGCAGATGATCTCGAAACTATTTACGAAGAGCTACTTCACATCAGAGCCCTTTCGCATCTTTCCAACTCGGTCAAGAGGGAGCTCGCTTCCGTCATTGTCTTCGAAGCACACCCCAAAGCTGGTTCAGTCTGTAAGTAAAGAGCATGTTTTCCAAGTAGCGTTGTTATATCTACCAAAGGTATCCGAGAAACGTGACTGTTGCAGCAATTTGTAACTTAAGTTGTTCACGCAAAGAGCCGAGTCTTATTAGTTGTTTTTGCACAAAGAAAGAGTAAGGAGTTGCTCAAGTTAGTCCCTTTTAAAAATTCTTTCTCTACAACGTATACTTTCGAAAGAGCTTCTGCTTGACACTAAAATATCCTCCAACTTTCCAACAAGTTAGTAATATTGCACCTACTAAAATGATTCGTTTCAAATGCTAAACCTTGTTTGGTGTAAAACTTCCAAAACATGTTACATAGTAGGGTAAAATCAAGCAAGGGGAGTCAGTTATTTACGTGATGTGAAAAAGAAGGTGTAGAGAGTAAAATACTCGATAAAATCTTACCCAATCCCGTCAAGTGGGAAGGAGTCCAAATATTCAAAAAAACATCTTACCTCTATTAATTACGTGAGATCAAAAGGGAGGGAAGGGTCCGACAAAATTTCACCAAATCTCACCAAGAGAGAGGAAGGGTTAAAATTTTCAAAAACATTACACCTAATTGCAGTTTCGTCATTTATCAAGTTATCTAAAATTAAATAAAACTTCTAAATATTCTACATGTGATGTCAAAAGAGGAAAGGAAAACTTAAAGATCGGAAAAATCTACTTAGAAAGCCACTATTTGGATTTTGGGTATTAATTCGTATTTTTTTCTTTTGTCTGTACAAATGTAAAAGAGTTTCAGGATAGTAGTCCTGATGCTGTAGCGAGTATCTTATAACAATATCTTAATTTCTTATTTTGTTCTTAAGAACCACTAGAATTTACGTACATATAAAACCTGTCAGTTTCAATGTATGGATAATACCATACATAAATTTGCGGTGTATAAACATATATAATTGTTAATGTTTTATAAGTATTCCATCAAGGAGACGAGGGCAGATCGTGGTACATAATTCTCAGAGGATCTGTGGATGTAGTAATACACGGTAAAGGAACGGTAACTACATTACAAGAGGGAGACGACTTCGGAAAGCTTGCCTTAATTAATAATGCCCCAAGGTAAGCCAATAAAATACGTGTAACAGTCAGTTTACCGTGGAGACACTTCAGACGACGCAAAGTGTAACTGTCATGTAATCCAATATTTTTGTCTGCAAAGTTTGCTCAGCTTTCACACACTAAATGTCTTTAGAGGCTTATTGCCTCAACGAATGACACAAACCCGTTTTTCTCATGAAAAGTCTTTGAAACTTGTCAACAAGTTTATTATAATCGCATTAAAACTCAAAGTTTGAAGCATTAAAAAAATTACTTTGTCCCAAAACAAGTAAAATCTCAGAATAAAAGGAAAATATATTAGAAGGCTAAAACTTTAATAAAATCAGTTATTCAATAAACAATTAAGTATTTATAATCCGGACGTCATTAATGGCAGGTCCTCGATATTGCAAAATATATTTGATATCGTAGCGGAAAAGAATAAACAGGAATATCCTTATATAACATTTGCAAATAGAAATAATTATTTTATAGACTTATTTGAATTATCTGCAAATATGAAATTTCTAGAGCTTTCTATTTACTTCGT